TATCGTTATCGTATCGTATCGTTATCGTGTCGTATCACCCGGCAAATGCTGTAGAACCAGATCATATTAACATCTGATTTTTACATCAGATTTCGCAAGATCAATCTGCGAAGAAAAGTTAAGTGATCCATTGAACGTCGGGAATTTCACTGTAGGAGGGAACGAATCCTGAATTTTCCGGACTATTCCCGATAACAATGATTTCAGTATTAAATCAAAGACAATTATCCCTCGTTATTATTTTCAATTCACGAAATTGATGTCCACGTCAGAAAATATGTTCTTCCATTACTAAGAAATATATTTCTTTATTGGAAATTAAATGGATATAACCTTTGTTATTGAAATGTGATTACGAACGATTATATTTATAAATAATAAAATACATGCACATTATTGAAGTTTGTGTTAAATGTGCGAACATACATAGACAGGGGTACCGTCTGCGCGTGCGAGACAAATCGAACCTGATAACAGCAATATTTAAAGAATTTCAATTCGAATAGTATTCAAAATAAAATAAACGAAATAATTTTAAATATATAAATAATTGAAAACATTCAAACAGGCATAGAGAGCTGGAGATCTTTTATATATTGATCTCCAGCTCTCTATGCCTGTTTGAATGTTTTTAATTTATTAATTAAGAGAGCTTCATTACTATTTAATGTAAATAATTCTAGATTAATTATTTAGATTTTTATTCTTGTAACGTTTAAATTAATAATTTTTTTTCTGTATTTTTCTTAATCAATAATCTTACTGATATAGGAATACCCATTCGATTCGTCTCTAAATTTTTAAGTATTCGTATACACGTTAATTTGTGCATGTATTAATTTACTATTAAATTTTTCGGGCATTATATATATAGACAATAATAATACCGATCCTAATAATGATAGAACATTTTTAATAAAGAAAAAAAAGGACACATTTCTCCCATCTAAATATATATTATTTAAATTAATTCGACGTTAAAGAAGCGTATCATCGTTGAATTACTACCGAAATCATTGCTTTCGGAAATTGTCAGGAAAACCTGGGATTAATTCCAATCTTACAATAAATATTCCCAATTTTTAACAGGGCACCGAACTAGACGTCGCGAATGGATTTCACAAAAAGCGGTGAGAAATAATTCTCCATGATGAAAATCGTTTGGATTCTTCGTCGGTATGAGCCACGCAACTTTCATTAACGTTTATTTAACGGAAGGAATAACGATAACTCTTTAATATGTATACCTACTCTACTTGGCAAGTATGTAAATAAATAACACAAGTAATATATTTAAAAACTAACACAAAAGTGTAACACTTAAATTTGATCTGGAAATAAAGTTTATGTTAAATTAACATATTTATAATGTTCAATTTAATTAAAAGGAAAAATTATTCTTACATTTTTATGATAAATAACAGAAGAGATATGTCGATTTAACATATGGAAACTGTTATAGAGAGAAAAATAACACAACTTATCTGTTCATTTTAACATATAACATATTTCATATATCTTTATATGTATATATATATATATATATATATATATATATATACATATAAAGAATATATATATAAAGTTTGAAAGAATCGTATGCAATTAAAGGAACAAATGTCATTGGCATACATGTCATGTATACATGAGTATACATTGTTTCTCAAAACATTTTAATTTAAATTAAAAATATAACTTCAATGCAATCTCGAGATGGCATATCTCCATTTCTCCACATCACCACATCTTCATTTCTCCATTTCTCCATTTCTTCATTTCTCCATTTCTCCATTTCTCCATTTCTCCATTTCTCCATTTCTCCATTTCTCCATTTCTCCATCTCCACATCTCTACATCTCATAAACATGGTCGCATGCATCATCTTTTATATATTTTTATAAAAATTATCAAGTCATTCATCGCATAGATCGTAATATATTATGATTGTTTCTCAAAACAGTTCAATTCAAAGTAATAATATAACTTCAATGCAGTCTCGAATTGACATATCTCCACTTCTCCACATCTCCACATCTCCATTTCTCCACATTTCCATTTCCCCATTTCTCCATATCTCTATATCTAAAAATCGCGTCCGTAGTGCTCAGAATTTCCGCATTTATAGCATTGTATGTTTGTGTCTCGAGTTGGTCACGCATGTTTAGTATCAAATTTATTTTTATTAGAGAAGCCGAGTGCTCGTGTGATAGACAGTCCGATAAGCTTCTCTTCCACGCTTCTTGCGTTTATCGCTTTTTGGAGCGTGGTGTATCTTTGTGAACGCACGAGAATTTTTAATTCGTCTCGCAATCCAATTTGGAAGTTTAGTAGAGCCTGTTTTTTAATTGTTTCTTGTATGGCTTGTTTGAATGAAGGAGATCGTTCTTCTCCTTCCACCATAGATTCATATAATCCTTCTATTCTGAAAAAGCAATGTTAAGTCGATTCTCGAAATTCTCGAAGTATTGTTGCCCCTTTTCTACGATGCCGATTGGTTCTTTTATTGCGCTCAATTCATGTTGTGAGCAGCTGTCATTTGCGATTATTATAAATTTTGACAGCTTGTGTGACAGTGAGAAATGTATACATAATGAAAGGGAATAAATGGCGCGCGCGAAACGCGCGCTTTGTATTGTCTAGTAATTTTAAATTTTACATTGGATCCATCAAAAATCTAGCTTTAATTTTATATGATTTTTATATGATTTAAATACGGGGCACGCCAAGTTTTTATATCTTACTTCGACCTGAAGATCATTTATGCGATTTAGAATTTGAGTGAAGCTTTTTTAAATTATATACATCATATAAAAAATGTCTTAGTAATTTTAACTCATTTAGTATCGATTACGAATTAATATCACATAATTTATTGTAGCTCGTAATATTGATTTCATATCGGTTTTTAAATATTTTATTTTTATCACTTTTTTAGATTATTTGATTTTTTTACGTACTTTTACATGTACGTATTTTTTTACCTTTATAAGGTTTTTTTAGGGGATATAAATATATGTAAATAAACGTCAATTTTACAATACAAGAAATTACGTAAAAGAAGATGATGTTTATTAAATATGGAAAAGTCTTGCAATTGAGATATGTACATACAAATTAATATATTTATAAAATATATTAGTTAATACAGGTAGGTAATATTTACGCATATTTTTACAAAAATTCTTAAATATTATCTATATTACTAATTGTATATTGATCAATATAAAAATATAATATTTAAATATAATATTTAAATATAATATTTATATATTTATTATTAATACTTAAATAAAAGTAAACATTTCCATGTAAAGGATTAATCACAATCGAAATCAGTTTTTAAGTTACAGATCTAATTATTTAATATAATGTTTAAATGATAATGTTATATATGTTAAAATGTGTTTAAATGATAATGTTATAATTTTATAAATAATATTACAGCAATTACTTAATAATAACTAATTATAAATTTAGTCCTTTAATTATAAAATGTCTAAAATTATACAATAAACAGTTTTATGCGTGAGTATATATAATATGTATTATATGTCATGTAAATGAATTTTTACATATACATATTATATATATAAAGCTTTTAAATTTATTTTTAAATATATATATATATATATATATGTATATATGTATATATACATATATGCTTTTTTGTACAAATTATCCATAACTACATAAAATATATGAATTATGTTAATATGATACAATTTTTTAAATGTATAATTTATTAATATAAATTTATTTAATAGGTTTCAAATTCTTAAAAACTGATTTTGATATTATTTTAATCTTAATATGTTCACATTAATTCTTTGTTTCGTCGTCACATTATCTATTTATAAATTTAAAAAATACCCTACGTTAAAAATTATGCATAACACATATGTGCCTATATTGTCTAGACGATTTGAAGTTCAGAATAGAGTTTTATGATGTATTTAAGAGACTTTATTATATATTATAACATACACACACATATGAAACTTTGTGGTAATGCGCAAAATGTCAATGTTAACGTTTCGAATAAAAACCTCATCTGACAACTGCGAAATTCGAGATATTATTAATATTATTAATATCATATAAAATAACTTGTACATATGTGTGTGTGTGTGTGTGTGTGCGTGTACGTGTGCGTGTGCGTGTGCGTGTGCGTGTGTGTGTGTGTGTACACTGCGCGACAACGATTTGTTCCATGGCCCCTCTCTCGCGGGGCAAGGGGAGCGTAGAAGTGACTAATCAGCTGGCAGCGTGGCAATGGCTGATTGGTTAGAGGCTACGGTCCCCTTGCCTCATCGTTGTCGCGGAGTGTACAAGTTATTTTATATATATATATATAATTAATAACATTAAAAATAAGACAAGTTTAAAAGCATATTCTATTTATAATATAAGGATAAAAAAGGAAGTAATATGAACATTGATTTAAAAATATTATTTAAATTATAACTACTTATACAAAAAAATGAATAGAAATGATTCTCTTCCACTTATTCATTTATCTATTGATTAAACATTTTTAGATTCTTAAAATCATATCTAATCTTTTGCTAATGCTTTTATTGCTATTTGGAATGTGTATTATTATACACAAAATTCGACATATTTTGGGAATTTTAAATATCTTCAAATTATCGATATAATGTTAATAGAAAGTAACGTTTGCCGAAGAAAAAATCATTATCAACACTTTTTTTTAAATATATATGTCAAATTCCACTATAAATAAAATGTGTTTACAACTTAAAAGAAAAACCGTTATTAGATTGATGTTTACATGAATTTTTTTGAATTTATACGGCAAATAGAATATATTTTTAAAGTTTAATCACTTTTGTTTGAAACATTTAATACGTTATATATATATATATATATTATATGTATGTATATATATAGTCGTTTGTATGATTACATTTTATTTTATGTATAGCAATACATCTACGTTCCAATAAATTTTATTGTCTTTATAACTGATAGCTAGCTCATTGTCCCTTAGCTCGATATTAACTCAATTGTCGCGAAAATTGTTTCTCGTATTAAAAATATTTATAGTAAATTAATCAATATTTTTAACATAATAATTAGTAATTATTATTTGTTGCAATAGAGGCTGCCTCTTTTGTTAATCCTTTAGGAATCATATCGTTGCAAAGTTTCGTAGAGAAGGCATTCGTGCTCAATTCCTTGTCCGCCAAAGGAACTGTAATTTGGCCATTCGTCACGTCTCTTGCAGTGGAATCCTCGCTCATAGACGTTACCGCATCGTTTATCTGTGATGTAAAATGGCCTGGATATCGCGGGGCTGGATCTTCTTCAGTGCCGTCAGTTTCTGCAACCTCTCCCGCGCGCTCCGTTATTAATGGATGGCTCGTCTTCGTCAGCTTTCTCGTCGTCGTCGATGAATTTTATATTGGACAGATCAAAATAAATTCCTTTGCCTTGATCAAGATCAGCTGGCTCATTATCCCTGATTGGCGCGTTATCAGCTCTATTGTCGCGAAAATTGTTTCTCGTATTAAAAATATTTATAATAAATTAATCAATACTTTTAACATAATAATTATTATCTGTTGCGATAGTATACTCTTTGTATAATTTATATAGCGATAGAAACTCTTTTTATAATTTATATAGCAATAGAAACTCTATGTAAAATTTATATAATATATTTTATTTATAGTATATTGCAGTGTACTCACCTTTCATAAATTCTTTCGTAATCAAGAACAGCTAGCTCATTGTCCCTAACTAGTGCGTTATTAGCTCTATTGTCGTGAAAATTGTTTCTTGTATTAAAACATTTATAATAAATTAATCAATACTTTTAACATAATAATTAGTAATTATTATCTGTTGCAATAAAATACGCTTTGCATTATTTATATAGCAATAGAAACTCTTTGTATAATTTATATAGCAATAGAAACTCTTTGTATAATTTATAATTTATATAATATATTTTATTTATATATTGAAGGGTACTCACCTTTCATGAATTCTTTCATCTTGATCATGAACAACTGGCTCATTTTCCCTAACTGGCGCATTATTAGCTCTATTGTCGTGAAAATTGTTTCTTGTATTAAAACATTTATAATAAATTAATCAATACTTTTAACATAATAATTAGTAATTATTATCTGTTGCAATAAAATACGATTTGCATTGTTTATATAGTAATAGAAACTCTTTGTATAATTTATATAGCAACAGAAATTCTTTGTATAATTTATATAATATATTTTATTTATATATTGCAGTATACTCACCTTTCATGAATTCTTTCATCTTGATCATGAACAACTGGCTCATTTTCCCTAACTGGCGCGTTATTAGCTCTATTGTCGCGAAAATTGTTTCTTGTATTAAAACATTTATAATAAATTAATCAATACTTTTAACATAATAATTAGTAATTATTATCTGTTGCAATAAAATACGCTTTGCATTATTTATATAGCAATAGAAACTCTTTGTATAATTTATATAGCAATAGAAACTTTTTGTATAATTTATATAATATATTTTTTTATAATATGTGGCAGTGTATTTACCTTTCATGAATTCTTTCGTCTTGATCAAGAATAGCTGGCTCATTGTTCCTAACTGGCGCGTTAACTCTATTGCCGTGAAAAAACCTGTTACGTAAAAACCCCGAGATTTGTCTAAAAATTCTGTAATCAAAATAACAAATAATTAAAAAAATTGTTTTTCATTTTAAAAACATTTATAATAAATTAATCAATACTTTTAACATAATAATTAGTATCTGTTAATAATTATTGTCTGTTGCAATAGAATACTCTTTCTATAATTTATATAGTAATAGAAACTCTTCGTATAATTTATATAGCAATAGAACTATTTGTATAATTTATATATTTTATTTATATATTGCAATGTACTCACCTTTCATGAATTCTTTCATCTTGATCAAGAATAGCTGGCTCATGGTCCCTAATTGGCGCGTTATTAGCTCTATTGTCGTGAACATTTCTCGTATTAAAAATATTTATAATAAATTAATCAATACTTTTAACATAATAATTAGTAATTATTATCTGTTGCAATAAAATAGTTATAAAATTTGTTAAATAATATTTATCTATAATTTTTCTAGAATTTTTATGATAAAATAGCACACAATCGTCCATACGTATACATGCATGTAAAGATGCATGCATTTATTATCATGACGCATTTATTATCATTTTGCTAATCTTGTTAATTGATTAAGTATAAAAATATAAGCATTTACATTGAAAGTATAAACCTTTACCTATATATGATATTACCTGTCACATATAAATTTAATTAGCCTGTAAGCACATATTCCTATACCTACTCCTATTGTCAGACTTCCGAAGAGAATGATAAATATTATAAATTTCTTGCTTTCCTTTTTTGCAAGTTTATCATCATTTCCATTATCAATTTTATTATTTTCTGTAATATATGTAATATCTGTGTATGAATATCTGATTGATGATATTGAAATTAAGACTAAAAATAATTCTTATAAATAATTTAATTTATAAATTAATAATTTTATTGTTATGAATTTTTCAAAATTATTTAATTTTCGTTTCACAAAAGAATATTATAAATTTAATAATACGATAATATAGATCAAAAGAGAGTCATTATTGATAAACTAATCTTTTAAGAAAAATTAATTATAATTTAATTTATTAACAGTTAATATATATATATATATATATATATATATATTATACATTATATATACACAATATTAGTAAAACAGGTATGTATCCATATATGTAATAAACTTATATATTTTACTGTAAATTTTTCTATACTTACTTTAATAGAGGTTATTTTATTTTTCTTTTATAACATACTTTTTGATATACTTTTTGAATATTGAAAGAAAGAAAGAGAAAAATAAAAAATATGCTCGCATCATTAGGTTTCATTTAAACGTGTTTTTGTGATTATAATATAAATATAAATAAAATAAATATAATTTATAGCATTATTATTGAATATGAATAATTATCTTACCTGTGTTTGATACGTGTAAAATAGAAACAAAAAAAACTATGTATAAGCATGACAAATAGAATATTTGCCTTATAATTTGCTGCATCACACGCATTGCGGACATATTAATGAGTTTCTTCTTAAACTTCGACGAGATTGTAATTTTCTTTATTGAATCTTCTTTTTCTGGTTCTAGTTTTCAATATCACGATCAATTGCTTAAAAAAACATTTACACAGTATAACAAAATTCAGTTGTGATTGCCTAATAACATAGATTTTAAGCAAAACAGAAAAAAATAAATTTCTTAACCAATATGAGATTGAAAGAGACATTTATGGTAGAATAAAAACATAGTAAAAATTAATATATAATATATTTTTATATTAATATGTAAGAATAATAAAAAATAGTTGTGATTAAAAATGTTTAAGAAAATTATGCAACTTAGTTTTAATTAACAAATAGATTTATATTATCAATTCTATAATAAATTTGGATTCACACGGGTTTAAAATATTTGTAAATAGAATTAAAATGTTCGAAAATTAATAATAATTTAAACTATCCTTTTATATATATATATATATATATATATATATATATAAAATTGCTCAAAAATAAAATATTTATATTTGCTCGATATTTTTTGAAACCACACAGCAATTATAAAAATTTTATAAAATCATAGTAGGACAAGACCTCTCATGTTTTTCTATCATTTTTGATAAAACTGGTATTTTTCTCTTGAATTTCTTGTTAATAAAGCTCAATATATAGTTTTACGAAAAATATTATATTAAAAACTCTTAATTAATATAATACAAATCAATGCATGGATAAATGTATCTTGTATAGATAATCGATTTTATTTTCAATTTTAATAAAGAGGGTAATAAAATATCGCGTATTGCAAGTATGTATATATATATATATATTACATATATATGCATACATATATGTAAAATATGATAGCATTATATAATATATAAAGAATAAGTTACTGCGTCAATCTTTAGAATTTCAAATATGAAGTGCCAAATTTGATACAAAATTTGATACAAAAAAATTTTCTATTGTATTCTACTTCGAAATTTATTATGATAGACTAGGCACGTTAGAGAAAATAATACTTAAATGTTAGCAATTGATTTTATAATATAAATTCTTTAATTTTAACCAACCTATGAGCCAAATCGTTGTCCGCTTGTTCTTTGTATATACACAATATTTCAATCAAATAAACGTATGACTTCTAAAGAATAAACGATTTCTGACAAATGTAAAGAATATTCTTGAGTGCTAACTGTACCATTCGTCTAACTCTTATCAATATCGCATCAAATTGTTTATTTTTAAGGGTCATGAGTCATCATATTTTCTCCAGTGGAATCGGCTTTGTCTCTGTATTAACTCTCTGTATTTAATAAACATTTTGGTTTGATTATCGAACATCTTATATTCATATAATAAAGAACAAAATATCTAATTTTTTTCTTGAGTGCTAACTGATCCATTCGTCTAACTCTTATCAATATCGCATCAAATTGTTTATTTTTAAGGGACATGAGTCATCATATTTTCTCCAGTGGAATCGGCTTTGTCTCTGTATTAACTCTCTGTATTTAATAAATATTTTGATTTAATTGTCGAACATCTTATATTCATATAATAAAGAACAAAATATCTAATTTTTTTATTATCAAAAAAAATAATAAAGTTTTTCAACAAAAATAACATAATTTTTATTCATAATTTTTTCAATTTTAAAATTTGAGCGCATAATTTTTTATGGAAATTAAATAATTCTTGGAAAATAGAAATCATTCGTTAATTAATTCTCAATATTTATTAAAAATATCAATATTTATTAAAATTTTTAAAAATGTGGATGATGAAGAACATTATAATTATAAAAAATAAGTAAAAAAAATATAAAATGTTTTTAATTTAAGCAAAAAATTTTAATTTTTAAACTGTAACGAATAACTATAATGTGATCAGAGTATTTAAAAGTAATTTAATTTATTGATTAATTTCGAAATAAATAATTATTGTATATTTGTAATATACAATAATTATGTAATCTTATAAAATGATATAATATAATAAAATCTGTTAATACCTTTTAACAAACCTATTTTTTGCCTTCTTTGTTGCGTAAAAATTTGAATATTTTTTTTTAAATTATAAATCTGATTTTTCAAAATTCCGAGTGATGTTCGATAAATTTTATATCGCACAGAAAAAATTGTAAATTTAGAGCTTCCCTTTCACATATATATTATATATTTCATATTTATATAAATTTTTTAAAAATTATACGAGATTGTTGATTAAAATAGAAATAAATATTCATTAATGTTCTTACATCTATTAACAAGAAGATAATAAATGTATCAATTAAATGTAAATGATTATCTTATATTCTGATATAAAATTCTATATTTGTAATATGGTCTATAAATTATATTTTTTTAATGTATAAAGTCAAAAGAAATAGTTCTTTTCTGTCAATTAATTGTGGCGATGGATAACAAACACTCTTCTTTTTTCTTAATATTAACCTTTAACGCAATTTATGAAAAAATATGTCATTGAATGTACAGATTAAAAATATTTTTTCATGTTGCATAATTTTTAAGCAACAGAATAAAGGCCGATATTTTTATAATTAATTTGTACAAATTACCCTTTACGCTTAATCGATAATTAATTCTGCAATATTAATTTTGACGATAGGCATTTTTATTTGGGAAACATATGTTAATAATTTGTCAGAATTCTAACTTTATGTATCTTTAAATAAAATCGTACAATTTATTATGTAAGAAACATCGATAAAGATAAGAGTAATGATATAAATATATGTAAATAAATGTCAATTTTACAACACAAATTACGTAAAAGAAGATTATGTTTATTAAATATGGAAAAGTCTTGCAATTGAGATATGTACATACAAATTAATATATTTATAAAGTATATTAGTTAATACAAGGTAGGTAACATTTACGCATATTTTTAAATATTATCTATATTGCTAATTGTAAGTATATTGGCTGATATAAAAACATACAATATTTATATATTTATTATTAATACTTAAATAAAAGTAAACATTTCCATGTAAAGGATCAATCACAATCGAAATCAATTTTTAAATAAGTTACAGATCTATTAATTATTTAATATTTAAATGATAGTGTTATATATAATTTTATAAATAATATTACAGCAATTACTTAATAATAACTAATTATAAATTTAGTCCTTTAATTATAGAATGTCTAAAATTATACAATAAACAGTTTTATACGTGAGTATATATAATATGTATTTTTTTACATATACATATTTTATATATAAAGCTTTTAAATATATTTTTAAATATATATATATATATATATATATATATATATATATGTATATATACATATATGTTTTTTGTACAAATTATCCATAACTACATAAAATGTATGAATTATGTTAATATGATACAATTTTTTAAATGTATAATTTATTAATGCTTTTTTAAATTATATACATCATATAAAAAATGTTTTAGGAATTAAAGTAATTTTAACTCATTTAATATCGATTACGAATTAATATCACATAATTTATTGTGGCTCATAGTATTGATCTCATATCTTATATATTTTATTTTTATCACTCTTTTAGATTTTTTGACTTTTTTATGTACTTGGCATATTTTTTTTACTTTTATAAGGTTTCTTTAGGTAAATTATATTCACATAAAAAATATATTTTTTTGTCTCATTGCCACTATCTGATGGCCATACGCCTTCAAGCCATACAACTTTTGTCTGAAACATTTCTTTCTAAAGTGCATAGTTTATAAAATATTCGACCAGTCCGGGACTTTTGGACACCCTGTATCGTATCTTAAAACGGTGATCACAATTTGAAAATCTATTGATTCGATTGAGTTCAATTTATGTATTCATCTTCAACACATATATGTATATCGTTATTGTTTCAAAAATTCATTAATTTTTTTATTTTCTAACCGCAAAAAAAAAAGAGATAAATCGATAAATCGAGTTAATTTTAAAAACGCCGTTATTTTGTTAATTTTTTCCCAACTGATTCGAACAATAACAGAACTTGAATAAAGAATATTTTTTTTCCAGATAAGTTGGAATACCAGAATCATAGTCATTCGTGATCTTTAAATTTCTCCCATTTAAAAACTCAACATTTTCATTATTAAAATTTTACAAAGAATTTATCATTAAAATATTCATCGCGAATTTAGGTACACTCTGTATAATTATTAACATCTATAAGAGTATATGAGCAAAAAATAATATAAAAACTATGTTGTTCATTAATTTAAAGATTTTAATAATTAAAAGAACCAGGAATATTAGATGCTTTATTAGTTATATATTTTTAAATATTATACTTTATATACACATGTACATTAAATTCTAAACCAACCAGGCAATCCAGGTGCTTTATTTTCTTTCACATATTCTTGCAAGTCCTTAGATTTAGATTCGTTCATAATTTCTTCATCGAATTCACCTTTTGCATCTTTAAATAGATCGGGAAACACAAAGGATTGGTCTTTTGGCTGGAAAAAACGAAATTTTGTTTGCAATTAAAATTTTTCTTTGCGAACTCAAAGAGATAATTGCAAACTAACCAATACAACATAGGCTATTTTTCTATCATCTTCTTTAATAATGGAGCCTTGCAGCTGATCCTTCTTTGTCCTCCCCATTGCTATTCTTGTTCTCACTTCAATAATATCGATATTGTAAATTTTTTCCATGTAATTCTTTATGTCAAATTTAGTCATTTCCATTGAGCAATGGAATTGTACCACATTCGCAAGCTGCTTGTTTTTAGGCTTCAACAGTTTCATCCAGAAGTTTGGTAAAAATATTCTTAATTGCGGATTGCCTTTTTGATATAGTGGATACCTAAATTGATTTGCGACAATTTTAAAATATCATAATTAGTTGCCTTAAAAAAAAAAAACAGTAAAATTTTATGTGAAATCATACATATATATATAGTAATTATTTATAATATAATATAAAGTATATATAATATAATATATTATAATATAAAGTATATATAAGTATTTATATTACATATATAATATAAAATAATAATAAAATAATAATAAAATAATAAAAAATAAATAAAAAATAAAAATAATAAAAAATATTACAAACAATTTTATATTTTATAAATAATTCCTATTTATATTATAATTTATATAATAATTATATATATTTTATAAATAATCCTTATTTATACAATTTTTACAAATATAATATTGACAGATTTATAACATAAAAACATATTGTAAATTATAGAAAATTAGATTAAGTTAGGTTATTCATGAAATAAACTTTTTCACTTTAAAAATGACTCATTAAGAATTATAGTATCACTTAATTATCGTGTTAAATATTACTCAAACTTACCATCGCGTTGACATTTTCTTTTCTATTGTACAATAATATATAAAATATACACAGAATGACAACAAAACTCAGATAAGCTTCGATACTTCCAACCTTAACTTACGGCCATCTTGTCTCATTGATGCTGCTATCTTTTGGCATTCGAGCGTACTTACTGCCATTGCTTACTCAAGAGAGAAAACTGAGAAATGTCATGGCCTGCTTCTAGGTGATCTCTGAAAGCGATACTCCCTCCATGGACATTGAAAACGTGGACATGAACTACAAAGCCAAAGTCCATAAATGTTCTCAGAGGATAATATATAATGTGCACAATTTCTGGTTTTGTTCCGTGCTATGTGCATGAAATGTCGGTAGCATCAGTACTGTATAACAAGATATTTTTATGTATGTAAATTGATAGTAAATAAATTATTCAATCGCGAAAGATAGTGTAATATTCAAAAATCAAATAAATATTTTTCTATATTCATTGTTATATTTATATCTTTTTATTTACAAAACACAAAATACTTGCTGTGGGATAAACATATTTAACCGTATTTCTATAAATCTTCTTAATTAGCAGTAAACTGATCTTAGATATCTATCAATCATTTTTTTAATTATTTAAAAATTTAATTATAAATACATGTATAGAATTTGTCAAATTAATCACTGATTCTTCCGAAGTTTTTATAATTAAGACTCGAAAAATATAGATGTTTGCAAAATATTTTAAATCTCTTCCTTTATATAAAATATAAAGAATTTATGTGTTCCATTTTAATATCACTAACATTATTTTTATATATTTTTATTATAATTTTCATACCAACATAATATTTTTATGCATAATATTTTTATGCTAAATACATATTACAAAATATATGACAAAATATAATACAAATTTTATATAAAATATAATTTGAAATTTAATACAAAATAATTTATTACATGGAATAATTTATTACACAAAAATATCCAAAATATACATATAATATAAAATTAACTAAAAATTTTTACATAGTCCAGACGAGACTGATCAGTGAAGATTAATTATGTGATATTTATTATTAATAATAGATATACAATAATAGAATTTAATAAGTTTTATATAACGTAAATAATCGTGATCAAAAGAGTCATTAATAAAATTATTGATCGTTTCTTTGAGTAAAAGAAATTTTTTATATTTTTATATTTACATTACTGACGCATTTTGTATAGATTATCAAAGGAAATATTTAAAAAAAAATTCAACTTAAATCAAAATAAAAAATATAAACAAAATTAAAGGCTCTCGAAATTAACAAAATAAATTAAAATATTGATAGGCCATAAGGAGTCAAACGCGGATGTAAGGCGTGTTCTTTTTAAATAATTATCCAAGAGAACGATCAAATTAGACGGTCATCTTTAATACCAAACGTTTCGGACTCAATTCGAGCCTTCTTCAGTGATTGTGCATGATCGTTTCTCTCAACGATCATGCACAATCACTGAAGAAGGCTCGAATTGAGTCCGAAACGTTTGGTATTAAAGATGACCGTCTAATTTGATCGTTCTCTTGGATAATTATTTAAAAAGAACACGCCTTACATCCGCGTTTGGCTCCTTATGGCCTATCAATATTTTAATTTATTTTGTCAACTTAAATCATTTTAATTTACCACTAGGATTATTGGAATATTAAAAGAAAGAATGAATCTTGCTTAATAGCCCTAACAACCCTACTGTTAAAGGATTCTAATAATTTTAATAGCCCTAACAACCCTAATATTAATAGAAGAATTCTAATGATTTTACTTAATAGCCTTAACAACCTTACTTCCTGATTAACTAAAATTATTCGAATTAGAAAAGAAAGGCTTTCGGACTGTGACGTAGGATGTTCGTACGAAAAAATAATTAACAATTGAAACGCGAAACAGAGCTACTAAATTAAAAAATGATTTAATAAGCCAAACTCTGTCGACACAAAAGTCTATCAAAATACAATTTAAAGACAGACGCACGTTTCGATCTTCTACAGATCCTTATCAATATCATACAAATAATAAAGATATAAACTCTAAAATTAAGATAAAGGAGGTCATGAGGACCTAATAACGGTTACAAAAAATTGAACGCATGAATTAATCAGCCGGGATAGTCGCGAGTTGAGGGACAGCGAGCAAGAGCAGTGGGAGGAATTTTTGTGAGTGCGTGGCGGAAGACTGATTCATAACGAGAACACCGACTACGAATCTTGTCAACGGTGACGAAAGCTACGACGATCAAATAGGAAGTAATTATCCAAGTAAAACAGAAAACATGGAGAAAAACCTGAACGACCTTACGGTTAATGAATTGAAGGAGATCTTGCGAGAGATGAGTCTGTCCACGGTGGGCGTAAAGACGGAACTAGTGGCTAGAATATTGGAAAAAGATTCTGCGGGCAGGTGGACGTTGCGGAGGACAGGAGACAGGGAGAGTCAGCGAGTGGAGGATCGGGAGAGAGCGAGCGTGGCGAGTGTGGGCGGCGATGATTCGGAGCATCTTCGGCGAGAGATGGAACTTTGTCGGCGAGAAAAGGAGCAGGTAGAGCGAGAGCTGGTGTTGGCTAGAAATGGAGTTGTTGAGACGTATGGGAAATGCGGATGGCGAGCGGCATGAGTCGACGAGCGATGCAGGAATGAGGAGTCCCATGAACCAATGGCGATAAATATAAGCGCAATTACAAGCCTTTTGGGATATTTCGAGGGCGATAGCGAGATGTTCGAGGCATGGGAGAAGCGCGTTAGATCACTTCGGGATGCTTACGGATTGTCGAATGATTTGGCGAGAATTATGATTGGATCGCGTCTGAAGGGTAAAGCACAAGAGTGGTTCCACTCAAATCCGAATTATACCGAAATAACTGTCGATGAGCTTTTGAAGGAGATAAGAAACATGTTTTTCTTTAAGCCAAGTAGAATTTGTGTGAGAAAGCAGTTTGAACAGCGCGTGTGGCGTAAGGACGAAACCTTCAACGAGTATTTACATCAGAAAATTATAATGGGCAATCGGATTGGGATCGACGAAGATGAAATGATTGAGTATGTAATTGAAGGGATTCCCGATCCAATTCTGCGAGACCAGGCGAGAGTTCAACGACTTAGAACGAGGGAGATGCTGTTGGAGGCGTTCGAGAGAGTGTCACTGCGTGGAAGGGAGGTGCCCCGTGGAATGTGAAGGATCGTCGAGCACAGGGAGGCGTTGTAGGAGAGAATCAGGATGTGAGAACTGTGAAGCGGTGTCATAACTGCGGAGCGCAAGGACATTATGCGATAGATTGTCCGTCTAAAGCGAAAGATATGAGATAGGGATGGGCGATGTTTACCGATTAATCGCAATGGTCGATAGTTTTTTTTCTAATAATCGATTAATCGGTTCGATATTTTCCTTATCCGATGTATCGATGTTCGATTCTTTATGTCAGACATCGAAGTTTTATTTTTTTTCTTATCAAAACATCTCATTGTAATAAAGCGTCGTCTACAATGAGATTTTTAAAGGTAAAGATTTAATCTATAGAATATAATCTCAAAATTGTTAATATCATCTTATATTAAACTTACCAAACTTTTTTATAGTGATTGTACAAAGAAATTCATAAAAATGCAAATTGTAATTTTACAAACCAAATATTTGCTTCCATTTACAAATTAAATAGTAATTTTATATTTAAGAAAGCTAAAAGTACTTTGCGCAATGTCAGATTTATGAATTAAAGTGTATTAGATGTATTAACTTTTGATATGGATGATTCATGTAATTCCTCCTTAAAAAACACTCTTTTTGAAAAATAGTTGATTCATCGATTCTTTTTGTTAATAATCGATTAATCAACATCAATATATTCAAAAATCGATTAATTTAGCATCGATTTTTTTTTCGTACATCGCCCATCCCTAGTATGAGATGTTTTAATTGTAAAGAATTCGGTCATATCGCAGCAAACTGCCGAAAGAAAAATATTAGCGAAATAAAAAATATGATTGATATTTCTAGACCGAATCGCAAACGTTTTAAGAATGTAAAGATTAACAATATAAATTTGATGGCTATAATAGATACTGGTAGTGATTTGTCATTGATACGTGAAGAGCAGTACGTGAAATTGGGATCTCCGAATTTAACGCGTCGAGAAATTATGTTTCGCGGAATAGGCGCGGAAAATTATAAGACTATCGGTTAATTCAATATAGAAATTGAAATTGATGGTGAATGTTTCAATAAGTCTGTCAGTTGTGCCGAATAACTTAATGCGTTATGATTTGCTTCTTGGAACTGATTTTCTCGATAGAGTAAATTTATACGTTGAAGAAGGAAAAAGTACGATTCGAAAACCACGTTCGGAGACTCAGATTTCGAACGATCTTCTTGAAATATTCGAAATCGATTGTGTTAGCGATAATAGCGATATTGATTTGACGTGCGTACCCACCGAACATGGAGGCATTATAGCAGATTTAATTAGTACCCAGACAGCACACATGTCCAAAAGATATCTAAAAGACTACTTAAAGACGTCTTAAAGTCCTTTAGACGTCTTTAAGACGTCTTTTGGCCTTTTTGTGCTGTATGGGTAATTATAATCCGAACAAAAAGCGCGAAGTAAAGTTTGAGATGACTATAGTTCTTAGAGACAACGAACCGGTATATCAGAGACCTAGACGATTGTCACCTGCGGCGAAAGAAAAGGTAAATTCACATGTGAACGAATGGTTGGCTGAGGGTATTATTCAGCCGTCGCTTTCGGAATATGCGAGTTCGGTAGTGTTAGTTAAAAAGAAAACGGGTGAAACGAAACTATGTATCGATAGACAGCTTAATAAGAAGGTAATAAAAGATCGATTTCCTTTACCGTTAATCGATGATCAGTTGGACGCACTACAGGGAGCTACAATATTTAGCACTATCGATTTAAAAAACGGATTTTTCCACGTACTTATAGAGAAAGATAGTAGAAAGTACACCTCGTTTGTAGTGCCGGATGGACAATATGAATTTCTTTATGCTCCTTTCGGTTTGTGTAATTCACCCGCAGTGTTTCAAAAATTCATAAATCAGATATTTAAAGATCTAATTAGAAACGGTTTAGTTCTCACATACGTGGACGATGTAATCATCCCGTCTTTAAATTTTGAGAAGGCATTAATAAATCTTAGAGAGACTCTGTGTGT